GGGCCCCCTGCCGCTCCCAGGGCTGTTCCCCACGGCAGGCAGGGGTGCAGCTGGAGGAGACAGTACAGGGGAGGGGGCAAAGGCAGGACCCCGAGGCCCCGCAGCTCTGGCCAGCCCTGCTGTGCTGCCATCGTTCAGTCGTTTCCCTCTTTCAGCTTATCAGCCCTCTGCGGCCCCAAGCCCCAGCACTAACCCTCCCCGAAACCGCAAATCTCTGCCCGGCCGATGCTGGAGATACCTGAGATAAAATCAGCTTGTGCCTGTGGCCAGGCATGGGTCATTGTGCCCCAGGACTGGGGTGCGCGGGGCTGAGAGCCGGTGGCAGGCTGTGCCAGAGAGGCCCCCGCCGGAGTGCCTCACCGCTGCACTTTTCCACGCCGGTGCCTGCAGCAGCACGGACTGCCAAGCCCGGGGGCGGAGGTGTCAGTTCTGCAGAAGGGCTGCGGGGGAGAGGCTGCCTCTGACGGCAAAAGGACATTTTGCTCCAGGAAGCATCGGTGACGGTGCCAACACGTCTCCTCCAGCCCACTTTGTTCCCAGCCCCTTCCCGACCCGCCAGGACGAGCTGCTCTCTCCATTCCAGGTGATGCCAAAGCCACGGAGGAGACCATGGCCAGGCGCGGTGCTGGGACACCCTTCCTGCTGCGGCTCTCCTTGCTCCTGCTCCTCCGCCCGGGCGGTGAGTGGGGCCCGTCTCATCCCGCAGCCGCATGTCCCATGCTGCCCCTGTGCACCCAGCGCCCATCCCACCCACCCAAACCATCCAGGGCTGCAGCACGCAGGGGCTGCTCTGGGTGGGCAGGAGCGCCGGCGGCACAGCGGACGCTGGCAGGATGGGGCCCGGCGCGTGCTGGCAGGCTTGCCCAACGCCCGGCTCTTCCTCTCCAGTGGCTGGGGGCCCCGTCTAAGGGAAGAGGCGCTCATCCCTCTGTCCTGCCTGAGTGCTGCGGAGCTGAGATGGCTTCATCATGGCCGTGCCCTGGATGTGACACATTTTTCCTGCCTGCAGGGACCCTGGGCTGTGCCTCAGTGGCCGTGGGCTCACCCGTTGTGCCCCTGGGCTCGGCTGTCACGGCATCCTGCACCATCTGGAGCAAGCTCTGCCACGGCTTGGAGCAGGGGAAGGTCCAGATCACCTGGATGCTGGACAACGAGCCTGTGGCCGGGAGCCAGCGCCGGGGCCCGGGGGGCACAGAGGTGTCCAACCTCACCTTGCCCCAGTTCAACCGCACGCAGGCCAAGCTGTGGTGCTGGGTGGAGTGGAATGGGACCAAGCAGCGTGTCGGCATGGCCGAGATCAGGGCGGGCTGTAAGTCTGCTGCCGCCACGGGTCACCTGCATGTGCACTTGACAGAGGTGCAGCCTGGCACTGGGGTTCGCACATCTCCTTCCCGAGATGCACGTCCGCCCCCAGGGCGAGCCGGGCAAAGCCGCTGGGGCGGGAGCAGCAGCCGGGGCCGATGGCTGATGGAAGCTGTTTCGGGGCTGTGCCCAGCCATGTTCTGGCGCACCGGTGCCCGGCAGGCAGGCTGTGGGGCAGGGCAGGTTTGGGGAGTGGTGGCATGGCGAGGGGGTCTGCGCAGCCGGGCATGGAGGGGGCTGTGGCTCCTCCACAGCCAGGACGAGTGCTTTGTTCAGGCTCTTCCGCGGCCGCTCTCTCCCAGACCCACCTGCGAAGCCCTTCAACCTCAGCTGCGTCCTGAACCTCAGCGACTACGGGCTGACGTGCCAGTGGGAGCAGGGAGCCGACAGCCACCTCCCCACCAGCGTCGTGCTGAAGTGTGCTGGGTAAGCCTCGGGGAGTGACACAGTCCCTGGTGTCTGGCCCTGACCCCCTCTCCTGGCCCTTGCCCTCTGCCAAACCGCATGGCAAGCCTTGTCCTCCGCTGGAGGGTCCCCCTGAGCCCACCCCTCTCGCTGCCGCAGGAGCAGAGCCCAGACAGTGACGGGCTGCACCCCGCAAGGCGGCCGCAGCTGCTGCACGGTGCCACGCCGGCTGCTTCAGCTCTACCAGCAAATGGAGATCTGGGTGTCAGCTGCCAACGCGCTGGGCATGGCCGAGTCAGAGCATCTCTGCATTGACCCCATGGACGTTGGTGAGTGATGGCCAGAGCTGCCCGCCTCGTGTGGAGGTCAGGGGCCGGGGAAGCTCATCAGCAGTGAGAGAGGGGTATTAGAGTGCCATTAAAGCATGTCGGGCTTTTAGGTCATATTTTACAGGCTGGTTCCCATGATAAATGCCTTGCCGGGATGAATAGGTGCCAAAGCCACATTACAGACTAAGCAGTGTTGGCGGGTTATGAGCCGCCGGTTGACCTGCTGCACTCTACAACTCTCTCCAGCAATTGATTACCCATTTATTCAGGAGGTCTATTAATAATATATCCAACTCCTATAAACTATTTATAAAAGGAACCTTCCCAGATGGTGCGACTCGTCCTCCCTGCTCTGCACCCAGGGAAAGGCTGCCCACGAACCAGCTGAGCCCTCCCACAGCTGTGCTGGGCTCTCACCCCCCGGCAGACCCAAATGTGCAACTTTCTTGGCCGTGTACAGACCCCAGGGCCACAGGATCTATTTTTCCTGCGTAGGCAGTAACCCCGCCTGGAGCCCGGGCTGCAGAGCCGTGTGGGTGCTGTGCGCCCGAGCATCGCCCTGTGTCCCAGGCAAGGGCACGCACCGGCTCCCGTCCCCTGGCACAAGCCATTCTCCTAAATGTTTCGGAGCAGTTTCTCCCCATCCTTGCCTTGGGGTCCAGGCAGGCCAGCGCCCTGGCTGCAGCTCATGGCACCATGGCCCTGTGCACCGCCCGCCATGGCACCTCTCCAGCTCTCTCCCCGGCTCTTCCTCCAGTCAAGCTGGACCCCCCAGCCCTGCAGAGCATCCAGTCCATCCCCTTCCAGACCGACTGCGTCGCCCTGGCCTGGGAGGTGGCACGGAGCAACGCGCACATGGAGCTGCAGTGCGAGCTGCGTTACCGGGCACCTGAGGACCCTGGCTGGGCTCTGGTGAGTGATGCTGGGGCAGCGGGACCGGGGCGGGCAAGCGAGCAGGAGCTGGGACCCTCCCCTCCACTCTGAGCTCTGCCAGGTTTCCTGCAACAGCAGCAGCAGGGTGCCCGTGTGGGAAGGGGTCGGCAAGGTGCCCCCTCGCATGCCCTGCGCAGCGCCCACGCAGGGACTGGACCCTGCACTGGCTGCACCCCTGCAGCCAGCCCCTGCTCGAGGCAGGAGCCAGCACAGCCCTCCCTTCGGCTGCCACCAGGTCACCGGCATCGATGGCCAGGCCGGCACCACACAGTGCTGCGGCTTCCTCTTTGGCATGCAGTACCACTTCCAGATGCGGTGCCGGCGGAGCTTGGCACGGGGCTACTGGAGCGAGTGGAGCCTGGGCAGGAACTACACCACCCATGAGAAAGGTGGGTGTGGAGGCACCTGGGGGGTCCCCTCTGCCCGGCCAGGCGGCACAGCCACGGTGGCATGGCCGTGCTCACCCCTCTCAGCTCCCTGCCCTTCTGTTGCAGCCCCCACGGGGAAGCTGGACACATGGTGGAGTGCTCGGCCGGCCGGGGCGGGCGGGCAGCTGGAGGTGCAGCTGCGCTGGAAGGTGAGCGTGAGCGGGTGGTGGGTGCGCAGGGGCTGCTGGGGCATCGGCCTGGGGACCGAGCATCCCCGCACACCCTGCCTGCGCCCAGGCCCCACAGCGGCGGGAGGCAAACGGGCGAGTGCTGGGGTACCGCGTCACCCTGAGCCCCAGGAGGAAGGGCAGGGACCCCCCCACCGTCTGCAACACCACCCACACCCACTGCAACTTCTCTGCGCCGGCGGGGACCAGGAGGGTCTATCTCTCAGCCTACAATGCCGCCGGTGAGTCGGCAGCGACCGAAGTCGTCCTCCTGGAGAGGAAAGGTGAGGGCAGTACAAACCTCCTGCGGTCCTAAACATCTGCGTGCCCCCCTGGGGCTCTGCCCCCTCCCCAGCAGCTCCACAAGCTCTCAAACTGGTTGCCGCTCCCTCGCGCTGCTGTGGGGGAGAAACCTCGCTGGGTGTGTGACTGGGGGGCTCTCTAGGAGGCTGCCCACGGGGTGCACAGCCAGGGCGAGGAGCAGGGCAGGGGCCTGGGCAGGGGCTGGGGGGCACAGGGGGACGATGCAGCAGGGATGCTCCCTTCTCCTGTCATCCCGGCTGGTTGTCCCCATGCAGGTCAGCCCCTGGCCGGGCTCCAGGCCATGCCCGGGGACGAGCACAGCCTCTGGGTGCGCTGGGAGGCACCACCGGCCCCGGTGGCCAGCTACGTCCTGGAGTGGCAGCGGGGGGGGCCG